TAACGTCTGGTGAATATGAGATCAGTGAGCTTCAATTGTCTCCAGTGAGCGTTTATCCAAATCGCATGATGGCGTACTTTGATACACATTCAGAACAGCTGGCTTCGCCACTTGGCCGGTGTCAATGCGCTCACAAAATCGTCGTGGGCGTCCGCCAAAGCGCATCCGCAGGTCAGCACACACAAGTGCATGGTCGGTATCCACACCTGTACTCCAAATCGAGCGACAGTTCTGGACGCAGCCTCTTCATCGGTAACTTATCGCAATGTGATCGATTTGCGTCCATAGCTGGTTCGAGGCTGATGGGCGCCAAGTCAACCTCACAGGTTATTGGCGAAAGGATTGGAACATGTGACCACGGCAATAGGTGAATGGTGTACGGTGTGCGTGAAATAAACAGACGCATCGTATATTAAAAGCTGTGGATACAAAAACTGGTTAATCGATGGTGCTTACTTCGTGCGAATTCATAAAGCGCACGTTTAGATGACAGAAGGGAGAATAAAAATAGTGGATGAAAGAGAGATAATGTGGATGTACATTAGGCACCTGCACGGACAATTGAGACGAGGGTTGATGTTTGAAAATGATGATGAAAACTAAAGACAAAGCTCAAAGAACGAAGTTAGAGAGCGTGCGTGTGAGGCTTCTGAGAGAAGGACGACACGTTGGAAGACGGCGCTGAAGAAGCATCCACACCAAGGCATGTAGGGTCCAGCAACAGCAATGCTGCTCCATCAGCAGAGATTGAAGACAAGTGCTGAGAGACAGATAACAGAACCAGTGCGCCGTATTGACATGAACCGTTGAATATGTTCTAAATATTTACATGCATTGTATTTTTTACGAGGTATTGATTCTCACGTGACACAAGATGCTTCATGCAGTCAACAGCTCGTGTACAGTCTAACAGTTGCCAATTTCTTAATAAGTTAACTAATGCAAGTGATCCGAAAACAGTGTTTGTAACTAACCAGAAAGATTTGTGTAGAGCATCCGGTAAGGTAGCTGAACGAGGTCAGCCCTACGAGGTTCCGTAGCTTAGGGCTGATGATGCATTGCCCAAGTGAATGTCCTCGTAGTTAAAAGAGAGAAGTCAGTGTAGCAAACAAGCTCGCTTCCACCAGGCTAAATTCAGCGCATGTATATAGTTAAAAAAGTGTAGAATCATCATCATCATCAAGAATAGTGCAACACCAATTTAAACAGATGCCTCGCTGCCGCACAACCTCGGTGACCTGTGGAATAAAGAATAATAAACGAAAAAAAAGGGAGACACGGCGCAAAATCTAAATGCCCTAAGTAAACATTCTGGATCAAATCACCTGGTCAACAACATACCATCATAAACAGCTGGCTGTCGTACAAAGATAAGATGTGAACGGACTTCAGTTGCTATGCGCCCATCGTTGCTGATACAGCTGCCAAGGTAAGTGAACGGATCAACTACTACAAGTTCCTTGCTATCTAGGGTCAAGGTATCCTCAAGCAGCTGGTGGTCCTGCAGCAACACTTCGTACTTTGTAGGTGCGAAGTGAATACGAAATAATGGAACCACTGCAGAGAGCTTTTTCAGGGTTGAGTGCGCTACCACAACGTTGTTAAACAACAAGACAATATCGTCCGCATATTAAAAGATCAATTAACCTTTCACCAGGCAGCATCTCAAGGCCTGCATCGCGGGATTCCGCAAAACAACACTCCATGATGGAGTCCACGAGGAAGCTGGACAAAAATGGGGAAATTGGGCAACCCCCGACGAAGGCCAGTTGTTGTCGAAAAGACAACAGACAAGTCACCGTAAACGTTAACGCGAAATGTAAAATGTTCACATATTTCATGGAAATACCTTTCCGCGTATTTCGAACAGAATGAATTGATTGACTGAGTCGAACGTACTTTAAAAGTCAACGAACACAGTTACTATCAGTTCATGGTACGTGTGGCACCGACCAAGTACTTACCGCAGAATGAATAGATGGTTTATACTCAGGAATGTAAAGGGATTGGTTTTAGCCATAACAATAACCTTACCTTTGTCTGACACCAATAGGAGAATTTTTTCTTCCTCAGTGATTCTAGCTAATCGGAAGGCTTTTACGTCAACAACCTACTGGCAACAAAACTGGATCAGATTCGGCTTGAACTGTACAACACTTAACTCGCCAACTACGTGTAAATATTGTCAAATTGTTCACATCCCGAGTTGGGGCAACAAAAGTTCGAACCTAACGAGAGGAGTAAATTTATAGAGTTGCAATACTATTCAAATTCTGTCGGAGGACATCATCGGTGCAAAAAATGAGTGGTCAACCCTTAAAGTCACAGTCGATCACCCCACTGGCATTATCCAAAGCGATTGTTTTGCTCCCTGCTATTATGCTATGCGTCATCGAATGTCAAATGTGCAAAAACAGGGCGCACGTTACGATACAGTAACCTACTCGCAGTCGCATTGAGCCAAGCAAGATAGACACGCTCATTAAAGTAGCGAAGTAATAAATGACAAATGAGGTTTATAGTTATAAAAATACGCCCCATAACTAACCGCTGCGTATGAAACTGTAGTGGTTGTACGGAAAGTGATATTCCGTAGTTTATTGCCTCGGTACTCGAGTGGACTTAATTCACTGCAGCAATCGATCCACAGACCAAGCAGCCTAATGATGACAACAACAATAATAGGTAGATTTCTCGAATGTGTAGGAGGCTGTCATTGGAATAGCGATAGATCATTAGAACAGTTATGATCATGCTAATGCATGAGTGAGATTTGCACTGAATAGCATTCGTGTTATTAGGGCATTCTGAAATACATGGATTTGGATTGGTGCTGAGTGCTTTTGCAACAGCTTTATCCACTGGCTGCATCTTCCTTAGTCTAACTTGGAAAAACTTATTTGATTTTTCCGATAAAACATGGTGATTATCGAGTTCTGGTGCAGGAAATTTCCAGATTTACTAAAGAATGTTTCTGCGTTTGTGCAAGAACTGATAGTGAAACTACGAGGTCCGTAGCTAGACGGAAGTTACGTAAGTTTTGCGAGTAATTACTTTTGGGTGACAGCAGTTCTAGTACAGGAAATTAGCGAGAATGCGACAGCAGGTCTTATGGAGGTTAATGTAGAGATTTCGCCAACAAGATACTCGATGCCGTGTCAAGTCACAGATACCAAAGAAGGTAAACGCAACTACAGCTAGAACCATGGCAACGTTGTTGCCAAAAGCTTAATCACGAGGTCATTGCTAACATGACGATAGTGCATATAAATTGGAATGCGTACGAATGCTAAAGCGTTGGACACAACTCTCATCCAAGTATGTATATAGAACCATCCACCACAGCCTATTCCCTATCCAACAACACGTGAGAAAAACAACAGATGTCGCGGAAAAATTTAAATATCTCAAATGACGCACAGTTGACGGTAGTAGAGAGAAAATGCACGGTGCAGGCGAAAAAGGAATCAAGAATGCACAACAGGTGGACGTCCAGATAGTGAAAAGCAAAACACGCAGCACGCGGAAGGCTAGAAATCACCCGCATTCTTGGCCAATTCTCGCCAGCGATTTTCGAAACCATGCAGATAAAATGTTGGATAACGCCCAGTCGAAAAGTTGCACTTTATGATCGATTTGGTACCTGTGTGTAATTGTCAGGTGAGGGTGGTAGAATAACTGCGGCTCGAACACGGAACGTTGATGCTGTCAGGCAAGGCATCTGATTCTAAGCCAACGAGTTGCGTGGACTCTTAGGTATTGGCCACACCGAGGACGAAAGCGTGACAATGAAAGTCCGTAGACACTACCTACACAATAGTTCGCTTCCGTTAAATCTAAAATGTAACCATATACCTCTATGTGAAACACCTACCTGTAAATTTCGTACCTCTTTGTTGTAATATCCTACACGCATCAGCGGTCATGTGTTTCGCATGTTGGCCCACCGGTTACTCCGGCGTGTGCTACTGGCTAACATTGCCTAGGACTGGGTGAAATCACAAAGTAGAATCAATACCACCGTAAAAAAGCATGAAGAACATCACAGAAGAGGTTGATGTTTACCCACCTCCCCGAGGGGGCTTCAGGATCGGTGACATGAAGGCTTAGAGATGGTGCATCTGGTGTTGGACAATCGCGGAAGCAGGGGCGCTCTTGTTTTGATTCCCTTACTGATGCGCACAGGCAATTGCACATCGCGCGAGTCTATTTCTTACTCATTCCTCTTTATTGTTCACTAACATCCGAAAGGCCAAAATTTCGAGTGCTTGCTAGCCCCACCTGATGAGATCAACTAAGTTGGAAACCAGCCGTGGAGTGCTCAGTTATAAAAGTCAGCAGTGGACGAAAAAATACGCACTCGTATTGCCGGTTTGAATACGCGCAGGTGCGAGCGAACTTACGGTATACTCAGCCCTCGCGCGACTGGTGCTGATCGTGTGGCAGCGAAGCGACGGTACGGTGTGCGAGCGTAGGGTGGATGCTTCTTCCTTGCTGATATGGTGACGCGGGCTGCGGCAACAGGATCCACCGCATTTCAATGCTTACATCATAATCAACAGACTGAGCTGACGTGAACTAAGCGCATGCATGAATACCATTCAAAAACTCTGTTCAACTCGATCTATGCACTTACAGGGAAGTAGCACATTACTTCTGTCATTAGCCAACTTGTAATTGCTGACCATGCGCAATTCGCTGATTTCAAACAAGTTTGAAGGGAGTAATCATTACCGTAAATTCATATGGAGGTAAAGTCGAACGACCTTCAAAGAACTTCCGCAGCGAATTCGACTAGAGTTGTAGATTCGTGTGGTCGAATCTGCAGACTTGGTAACTGACATGTGTACTATCGCCCAGTGGGCGTAACAAAATGGTTGTGTGCACCGCGAATAAGACACAACCGACCACACCCGCTGTGATTGGTGGTTACCGAAAGCGAAGACACCAACCGAGTAGGACACTCCATCGAGCAGCAACTTGTGATATAGAACACGATGAGCGGTTTTGAACCAAATTTGTCTCACGCACCACCGATTTCGACTACATGGCGGAGCCGCAAGGACGTCGGATACTGATTCCCATAGATCCTAGCGAGCATAGCAAGAGAGCGATTCAGTGGTATTTGGATAAATTCGCCCGGAAAAATGACACCGTACACCTGCTGTATGTGGCCGAAGCACACCACACAAAACATGTGACCGATGCGACCACAGCGGAATATGCGAGTGAGTTCGACGGCAAAATGCGAGAGTCCGTCAAGGCAGGTGAGCAGATGAGCGAAGAACGATTGCAGATGATCGCTGACCGTGGTTTGCAGGTGAAATTCAGCATGCACGTGGGAAACAAACCGGGTGAAGTGATTGTCAATTTCGCCAACGACAGGCTGATGGATGTGATCGTAATCGGGAATCGTGGAATGGGCACCATTCGTCGAACTGTGCTTGGCAGTGTGAGTGACTATGTACTGCATCATGTGAACATACCGGTTGTACTGATACCACCGCCTCGACCAGCGTGAATACATGTTTTCGGTACGTCTTGTTGTTTTTGTTGTCTCACATGTAGGATGGAGTACGGGTTGGAGGTAGCAAAACGTTGAAGAAGTCGACTAGTGAGCAAACCATTTTTGCTAACAGACAAGAATAGGGGATGGGAATCAAGCCCATGAATGGAGTGGAGATTGCCAAGTACCGGCTTCCCAGAGTAGAACATTAAATATGTGATATAAACGAAGCAATTAGAAGCCTCTAGCTATTTGAACTGATAAACGCTTACATTTCGTATTGTCCCAGCTGAACTGAATATTATGACAGGAAAGAGCAAATAGTATCGCTTGGCACATCGGTTAAGAGTTTAAGATCAGGTGTTAGGGTATACACAGTGTGCTACGATCGCCCCACACGTACTTTCAAGTTGGGCTGTGATTTATATTGAGGTAAAACTCAGCTATTAAGTTCACCGGAGCAACGTGCCGCAATTCAAACACAGAGCAGGCACCCCGAAATCAAATGATACATGTTTGACACACTTTTTTAAACCATAGATGCAAGTGCTAGCGTATTGGTACTAAGAAACTTCGAATTATTGTCTAAAATAACAAGGAAAACCGAATAAGAAATACTGCGAGACCGGAGTTAATCTATGGAGAAATATTGCGAGAGTATCTCAAAGCGTCAAAGCTTGTAATAAACCTGAATACCTGTAAGTCGGGTTATCATTTCAGGTTCTGGTCTGTTCTCCGAGATGAACGATTTTGTTGTAGACGCTTCATCACCAAAAGAAATGACTTCGTGAGTGCGTAGCAGGCAAACTGAATACCTCGTTGAGCATAGACAGATGAGCGACTAAGACTTGAACTTGACTATTTCGATACACGGCGACCGAACTACGAACTGGCAATGGTGATGAATCGAAGTGGTCAAATACAAACGTGACTCGTTCGTCTGTCAATGGTCGATGAACTATTCAGTTTGCCTACTACGTACTCACGAAGTCACCTCGATTGGTGATGAAACGACTGCAACGAAACTGTTCAGCTCGGAGAACAGATCAGAACCTGAAGGTTAGTTCAGTTCAGTTGATCAGCTATGATCCGAGCACCGAAGTGCGGTGGATCCAGTTGTCACGACTCACTTCGCAAGTATAACAATAAATAAGAACGGCAAGATATTGAAATTAAAGGCAAATGGAATGTAAAGGAAATGGAAGCAAGAAGGAAGTGCGTTAAACTAATTAGAATGGAACCAAAATTAACAACCAGATGCAAGAAACTGAAGGCAAGAACGCCACTGACTGCGTGACTACGACATGTCAAATACGGTCTCTAATCCTTGGAGTGGACCACCCCGAGGTCTCCATTCACGAAGACGGCACGCACCAGCCTGACCAATTTCTTCATGCCACTATGCCACGTCATGGACTGGCCACCTCGCGGTTTCACCCAACTTGGTGCAGCCACGGCGTATAATGCACGCCGAGGAAGCCGGTCAACGGGCATACGGAGGACATGGCCTAGCCAACGTAAGCGATTAAGATTCAGCAAACACTCGAGTGAGGAACCAGAAGGCTTCTTGCCAAAAACCAACTGGCGGACCTCAGCATTGCTCACCCGGTGTTCCCACCAGACGTGAGCAATACTCCGCAAGCACCGGTGGTCAAACACGGCCAAGCGTTTAATGTCTTCGCCGCGAACTGGCCAGGTCTCTGATCCATACAGTAAGACCGGCCTTACCGCAGCGTTATACACCCTACCTTTCACTGACAGGCTGATATCCCACCGTCTCCATAGATGGTTGAGTCTCTGGAAAGCCACACGGGCCTTGCTGATACACGAAGTAACTTCCTCAGTGATGTGACCACCAGAGGTGACACAGCTACCAAGGTAAGTGAACCGATCCACCACTTCCAGTGGTTGTTCGGTGATAGCTAGAACCGGAGGTGTGTCGGTCCAGTCCTGCAGCAGTACTTTGCACTTTGAAGGTGCAAAGCACATGCCGAAGCGTGCGGCGCTACGCGTCAGTCTATGCAGTAGTGTTTGCATAGTCACTGCATCAGACCCAAAGATAGCTATGTCGTCCGCATACTCCAGGTTTGTCAGTCGGTCAACTGGTAGAAGTTCCACTCCGGTAGAGTCTGAAAAAACGGAGTCACTCATGATCATTTCGATAACAAAGTTGAAGAGGAAAGGGGATATAGGACAACCCTGGCAAACCCCACTTGTCGTGTGGAACTCAGAAGAGAGTTTCCCGTAAACGCTTACAAGGCCTCGGGAATCAAGGTAGAGGAACTTCATAATGGAAAGGAGTTTAGCTGGCAAGCCCTTCATTGATAGGAAGTGCCAAGGCGGCTTTTAAGTCAAGGAAAACCACCATAGTCGGTCATCTGTATGTGTGTCTCTGCACTAAAACTTGGCGAAGAGTAAATATGTGGTTGATGCAACCACGGCCAGAGCGGAAGCCAGCCTGGCTTTCAGTGATTCGGTCCTCAGGGGGACTAGTAAGTCGTTGAAGAATGACACCCGTGAATAGTCTTGAGGCAATGGAAATAAGGCTAATACCTCGATGATTTTCGCACAAAGTACGCTGACCCTACTTGAAGATGGGCACGACAGTTGACAGTCGCCAGTCTGAAGGTACCTCTTCACTGTTCCAAATCGTGTAACGAGTCCAGTCAACAACGGGTCACCACCATCTTTTAGCAAAGATGGAGGGAGGTCGTCTGGTCCAGCAGCTGTGTTTCGTTTCAACACGGAAAGCTCATGTCGAATCTCTTCTAAAGTAGGTGGTGTCACATTTGCTTCCCACGACAACTCAGGCGATTCGGCAAGTGGCAATGTCGCAGCAGGCCTGCTGAACTGCTCTGCATAATTTTCCGCCCAACGGGCTAGTCGACGACGCTGCCCGTTTTTCTCAGCTATTGTCTCGCTAACCGATGGCTTTCGCAGATCCGTGTTCCGGATGAGCTAGAAGAGGACTCGGCTGTTTCCAATAGCACTGGCTTTCTCCATCTCACTGGCCCTAGAGATACATCAAGGTTCCCGGTCGATTCGAAAACTCCTTGCGATGCGTCGGTTCAGAAAGTTATGAACATGCTGAAGCTAAGTGCGCATTGGAACCTGTTTCCGTGCTTCGATCAAGCCGATCGATGCCTCAAAGATCCATTGGTAGTTACAACGCCTCAAACTGGGTGCACAGCCTACATCAGAGGCATTATTCATAGCATATTTGAGACGATTCTAGTCAGCATTCGGTTCACCTACCTCATTTCTCACTGACAATTGGTGGGTCAGTTCGTCGTGATATTGTTGAACTGCAGATTGCGTGTTCGTAACAGGTATGAAGGTTAGAAGGTAGATGCTTCTTCGAAGCGGGAAGAGTGAGCACAAAGCGTGCGCGCACTAGAGCATGGTCGGAACCCAGGCACGTGCTTCAAATTGACCAACAGTCTTGAATTGATGTGCGCCATCTGTGACTGATGGCAATATGATCAATTTGGGTCTAAGTCATTGAGGAATTCGGTGGACGCCAGGTGACGCAGTGTGAATGTTTGTTTGTAAGCAGTGCTGCTACTATAAAGACTGTGGTCAGCGCACAGTTACAGGATTCTATCACCATTTTCTGTGCGGCGTGCATCGACTCCCAAGCGGCCTCACAGGTGTTGTTCCGAGTCTTAAAGACGACCCACTTAGGCATTCATGTCACCAACATTAATCAAGATGTCAGTGTTCTTCGCCATGCGAAGAGATGAGAGCTGTTGATTGTAATCCTCTTTGACACCCTCTGAACTGCATTCAGTAGTGCCATAAACTGAGGCGATGAAAAGGCACCTTGGCTTCAGACGCTGCTTATTAACTCCAATGGAGGTTCGATGTCTAATTGCACATGTGGCTATTCACCGCTATCCAGTCAAACAGATTGCGTTCAACATGTTTGCTGAGTGCGATACCAACACCGTAAACACCTTGAGCAATTGACTCGGTATCGCCAGAGATGCGAAGAGTGTAGTCATCGTCGTCAGATTCAGAACCAGAAAGATGCGTCACAACGTTGTTATCTTGTATGAGTGTTTCGGAGACACATCACATATGAATACCGAGAGAGTGAAGAGTAAGTCAGTGCTGCCTGCTGGCCGATCTGACCTAGAGTGCGAACGTTACAGGAACCAATGTGAAATGAAACTCTAGATTTGATGGAAGAGCTGCACGTATCGATGGCAGTAGCTGCGAGGTCAATGGCAGTCTGCTGCTCAATAGACGGAGAAGAGGAGAGGGGGGAGGTGAAAGAAAAACAAGAAGAGGGAGTATTGTCGACGTGGTCGAGAGGGTAGATGATATACTCTGGCTGCAACTTTCGAGAGTTTTGTTTTGTTTGAGGTGCCAGGCCTCTAGACTTTGACTCAACAGTCTGACCCACCAGGCAGTGGGAGATATGGAGGTTTGCTTGACGGACTTTACCCGGAGCCTTTGGCTTGACAGCCTGACCCACAAGGTAGTGGGGAACAAGTCCAACTCAGGAGTGTGATTAAGGCCTATCACACACAGCCTTTGAAGATTTAGAACAACGCACATATGTTTTACGAGCGTATTACGTTACGCACCTGCCAGCACGGCCAATCGCAGGTGGGAGTTGGCGGGTTCGCACCAATTTGATCATAGGCTGCTTGGCTTGAAGCGGGCGTTAGCAAATCATTGAGCACCGGGTGGTGCCCTCCCACCGTCAGAGACAATGCGTGGCGCTCGCGCTCTACATGAATCCAGCTGTGAAGTTATAATCCGTAAGCTTGTTGTCCCCCATGGCTAAGTTTTAAAGAAAGAGGGCCATCGACCTCTCCCCAACCTCCGAAGAGGACTGGATTATGAGACGGCGATAGTCTGAACTCTAACGATTGATCTGTCTGGTATGAGTGGCTCTGAAAGCACTTGGAATATGTCACCCAGCGTAGCTCATGGGTCACGGGGGTACGTAAACCATCGCACCGCCCTAAGGTCCAGTCTCGTCGCGACATACCTGAACGTCAAGGTTGTTAGTGCAGCG